GGCCAGCTCTGGCCCCTTAAGAAAAAAAACAAAAAACAAAAAAAAACCCGAACTCATCACTCCTGCTGGTGGGGGCAATCCCCGCTGCCTCCCCATGCCACATGGGGGGCTCTGTACAAGCCCCCAAAGCCCCAAGGCCACTGCAGGCACAGACAGTCCCAGAGCTTTTCTTTTTTTTTTTCTTAAAGGGCCAGAGCTGGCCCCGGCAGGGCACCCATGGCGGGGGTGCTGGGGGCTTGTGCAGAGCCCCTCATGCGGCGTGGGGCAGTGGGGATTGAGCTCCGCCTGGCAGCACCCAGTGAGCACCGGGGCTTTTCTTTAAAGTACCAGGAGCTAGGGTGCGCCAGGGCAGCCATGGTAGGGGCTGGAGGAGTAGGGGGGATAAGGGGGGCTCAGAGACCAGAGGGAGCTGGCAGGGGTCCCCACATGGTCCCCTTGCACCTCCCCCCCCCACAGTACTTACCAGCTCAGCATCGGCTGCAGCCACTGGGGACTGCCCAAATCATAAAAGCTCTCCAAATCTTTTCCGAAGATTTGGAGAGCTTTGAATCAATTCGGACGTTTAAATTGGTCCTGATTCAATTCAGATTCAGAGATTTGGCCACCGAATCAAGCCAAATTTCCTCCTAATCGAATCACCACCCAAAGCTTTGCATAGCCCTAGGACTTGGGACCACTATGATCAGAGTATGTTAATATTTCCTCTTATGAGAGGTGACGAGTACTAGCCAGATGCATACAACAGTGCAGCCAGTGCTACAGAAACCATTGCTGACTTATCTTACTTTCATGCATGAGACAGAATCTACACAACCCTGAGCTGATGCTTTACAGTGAGCAGATATTCTCAGGTGTGTGGCAAAGTGACCCAGGTAGGGTAGGCAAGGCTGGCACCACAGCTGTACCTAGGGTCCTAGGGGCCTCCCAGGGCTGCAGTGGTGCTGAGCTGGCTGCTGGCCAGCAGCCAGAGTGTGGCTCCGGCTGAACAGGCTCCCTTTCTGGTGGTGCACACTGCTACCATGGATCTCCTGGTGTCAAAAAACCCCACCATGCTGCTAATTAGCAGCATGGTGAATGGGTGCACATGTGCCACGTGCAGTTTGTAGCACCTCAAACTGCTCTGAGGTGCCACAAACTGCACATGTGCGCTCGTCGAGGCGTGTCCCTAGGCTTCCTAGTAGGACAGCTTCATGCCAAGAAGCAACATTTTAGCCACCTATTTTTTTGCCAAAATGTCATTTTAAGTGTTTAATAGGGTCAAGTATGATTTTTATGAATCATTCACTTCAGCTTAAGCATCTTGGTCTTTTCTTATTGTAGTTCCTTCACTGAAGTATGAAATGAGACTCATTTAAAGAAGGTTTTTAAAATGCCATTATTCAACCATCATTTCAGATCCTGACTTTTTAGTGGTATCTGTAAAGGGACTCACTCTGAGTTTTTACTACCTCTCAAACCATGAAACACAGCCATGAAACACAACTGCCACACACTTCTCTATCATTAACTAATTATATCAATGGTTTAAATTATTGTTGCAATTCATTTTAAAAAGCTGTATTAATTTTAAAGTATAAATTGCCATATTTTTTATTCCAAATGTTATTCCTGGTTCAAGCACCAGTATTTCAAAACTAGCTTAGATAAAAATCAGCAAACCGCTGACTTTTTACAGGATCTCTCATAGGTGACAAGGGCAACATATCATAGTGAAAAGTAAGTATTTGTCACCTTCCCAGCTTTCAAACTTCTTGGTCACAGAAATGGCCTTCTCAATAGAAGCAGATGCACATACTCAGGTATTGTGCCTGTGTCCAGCAGCACTGTCCCAGATATGTCAGTCGTAAGCAGGGATCCTGGTTTTCTCTGATAAAAAAAAATCCCCAATTTTTGGATTGAAATAAGTAACCCAAAATCCACAATTATCTATATTTTAGTGGTGTTTCATTTCAAGCATGGAAAAACGTGGATTTTGGGTTACTCTTTTTAACTGAAAATCGGGGATTTTTTTTAAATCAGAGAAAAACAGGATCCCTGGTATAAGCATTCTAATTAAAAATTCCCCTCAAGCCTCTGAGGTTTATAAAGTGGCATTCAGAATCAGAAGTAGGAAGTTTCCGTTATGAAAGACACAAGCAATAAGACCTACTCCACATCTAGTTTTTATATGGCTAACTGCTAGTTAGGGATATGAACTTTATTAATAATAGAAAGTTACGTTGGTATAAAAGTGCTTTATTTGAATATAGTTTATTTTAATTCCCATAGGGGAATAACTGTCCCAGTATGAGGAACTTTTGTAAGACATGGGCTTCTTTTCTGATGCTGCCGTTAATAAGGAAGATTTTAGAATAGAAAACTAAGATTACTCAGACAACTATTTAAGTAACACTAACAGCAGCTCTGACTGTTGTAGGTGAAGACACGTAAATATTGCAGGGTTCTGTCCTATAACCCTGGGCAGTAAGAAAAAAGACTAGCAATTGAGGGTGAAGGGCCTGAGGCCCCTTAAAATTGTAGTATTATAGTGGTTGTGTGGGTTCAAGGTACAAGGATGGCTCCCATGGCCACTAATATTCAAAGGAAACCAGTGCTGAATAGATGGGGTGCATTTGCATCCTGCACAAAATCTGCATGGACAACCACTCAAAAAGGCCAGGTGTTCCTTTTTAAGGAAAAGAAAAATTCTCAATTGTACAAAAAAGGTGTCCCTGTTCATGTCATGGTTTTGTACTTCAAGGAGTTCAAAGTAAAACTGCCTATACAAAAACCTATTTTCTAGCTAAAAGAAGAAGTCATTTCACAAACAGTCATTGAACACTAACATATGTAACGTGAAGGCTGTGCTGGAAGCAACTAGTCAAGGAAGTGAGTATAGGTTCTTTTATGAACTACACTGTGCAGAGTTTCTTCCTGAATTACAGCTATGAGGTTTTGGAAATGAAATAAAGGATAGACATTGTGTCCACATCCCTTTCACTCCAAGCCTCATTTAGCTGACTATCTTGCCCTATACAATTCAAAAAAGAAGACTTTCAATGAAAGATTTTCAGCAGTAGAAGAGTATTGATTAGTATGACTGCACCTTTTGATCCACGTGTTTCTGTAAAGCTAGAACATGTTTGCCCTTTTAAGCACTGCATGAATAGGTATACTACTCAAGGTTACTTAAGCGTTGCTCAGATCAGCAGGCCATTAGTTTCTACCCCGTGGTGGTATATTGGAGTGACAGTATTTGAAACATGAGACTTATTTCCCCTTGTCCTGTCTTTTGTTTCCCTCAGGCATACATACATGCACACCCCTTGAACTGCACCCTATTACCAAAGACCTACCGAAATTAAGTCATTCAGAATAAGTTACAGAATCAGAAAATTAGGGTTGGAAGGGACCTCAGGAGGTCATCTAGTCCAACCCCCTGCTCAAAAGCAGGATCAGCCCCAACTATATTACCCCAGCCAGGGTTTTGTCTAGCTGGGTCTTGAAAACCTCCAAGGATAGAGACTTTACCAACTCTCTGGGTAACCTGTTCCAGTGCTTCACTGTCCTCCTAGTGAGAGAGTTTTTTCCAATATCCAACCTAAATTTGTAATAGTTTCAAGGCTTTGCAACCATAGCTTTAAGACATTGCTTTTAAAAAAAAAAAAAAAAAGCCTGGAAGAATGTGAGATTCTTGCCAGTTGTCACTGGTGAAATGCACTGTGTGCATGAACCAAACAATGATTCAGAGAGAACGATTTAAATAAACTTTCTGGTATCCATCTTTATTCCCAGCAGTTATAGCCCATTCTGCTTTGTTAAATAAAGATAACTCAGTATTTCCTTTAGTTTTTTTTATAGCATGCAATTGTATCACTTAGGTACAAATCTCCACACAATTATATTTGTAATAGACTCAACGAAAGCTAAAGCTTTTTAAATCTTATATTAATTCCTCCTGCCAAGTACATGAAAGGGACTTCTCATAAATTAATGTAAGCAGAACATAGGACTCAAAATATGTTTCATAAGAGACTACTAAAATTATACATGCAAAGATGCTGTGGTGTTTGCATCTCTCTAAAGCAGAAGAAAAAATGCAATGGTTTCCCGCAGTTTCTGTTAACTGCCCGTGACTTCAATTTTTTTCATTCTTGTAAAATTGGTGAGAATGGTAAGCTCCATTGCCAACATAATTTTAAACTCTTGGACTGGGGATGCTGTTCTTTCATGGTATTAAACATTTTAAGGTCTTCTTCATCAAGCAGCCAGCCCCACATCTGGACAGTCACAAGGCTGGAGAGCCTAGACCCACACTGAACAAATGACGTCACTGTTGCTGCTTGTGATTTGATTTGATGTGTATACATGTGGTTGATATTCAGTTCCTTTAAGCTGGGCATGTTGGAAAGCATTTGGAAGAAGTTTGTCCAACCAGCCTCTGTAACATTGTGATTTGATGACAGAGAGAGATTTTCAAGCTTTTGGAAACCTCCGCTACTTGCTACCTTTGCTGCAAAAATAAAATAAATAAGTGTATAATAAAAAGATACAGTCAGTACAAAACATTAACCATTCTTTTTAAAAAAAGAGTGAATATGTTCTAGCCCTACATGTGACATTATATTACCATATCTTCTCACATATCACTCACCCCAAAATAAAACAAACACACACTGTTTTTGGAAAGCAGAAGAGAGAGTGAGAGAGCGTAAGATTTTTTTCAGTATCATGGCCAACTGTGTGACAGAGTAAATACTCCTGGAAATACAAAGTGTCCAGGAAGTGTGGCATCCCAGGAGCCAGTCTGGGTGATGCAGCAGGAACTTCCCGGCGTAGCAGGACAGCAAACAAGGCTAAACACTAGCCAGGGGTGGGCAATTATATTGGGCAGAGGGCCATTTACTGAGTTTTGGCAAGCCATCAAGGGCTGCATGACAGGCAGCACAAGCAGATATATATTAATTTTCTAAATGTTTTAGGGGTCCCGCAGGCCAGAAAGAATGGCCTGGCAGGCCGCATCCAGCTCGTGGGCTGCATTTTGCCCACCCCTGCACTAGGTCCTTGTGAGCCCAATGCCAAGACTGTTACTTCTTTACTGCAAACTAGTTCTATATATAATTCCTATCAATAATAAGGAGGTTACTTCCACACAACAACTGTCATCAAGATACTATTAGCCAGTAGCCAGCTCAGTTGCTGCCTCAAGCACAAGCTACTCCCTCAGCAGTGGTTGAGAAGATTAACACTGGACTCTACCCCTGCTCTTTGCAGTCCTAGACAGAAGTAGCACTCATCTTGGCAGCCACTCCAGCCTTCTTTTTCAGCAAAATTATACACTCCAATGTTGGAGAGCTGATTTGGGGGTGGGGGGGGGAAGTGCATGTGGCATGCAAATAAATACGGTACTTAATTGATATTTAGCTGTGTAAAGTGAGGCCCACATCACTGCTGCCTTTCTAAGCAAATGCAGTGAGTCAATTGACAAATCAAAGATAAGTAAGTTGGACATCATTGAAATCAGGGGACACATTTTTTGGTCTACTAATCTTCTCAGCTAGAAAGCACATCCATTTTAGATGCTATCGAGGCATACACTGGGTGTCTAGAAACCAAGGACGGGACCACAACCTAAAGGAAGGGGTTTTTCCCTTGTTTTTAAATAATCATCATCATTATTATTATTCCCCTGTGAGCAATTAAATTATTTGGCTAATATCTTATAACTATCATGCAAGAAGTGGGCCTTGAGAAGACATTTAAGAGAGCAGAGGGAGGAGAATTCCTGCATCAATTGACAAAGGTATTTCCTGCCTGCAAGCAGCATGACATATGTTTCTGGGAATGACTGGCTAGGGAGGCCTTACAGGTGAGGAGAAGACACTTGAGCTTGATATAGCGAGGAAGGAGGGCAATTCAAAGAGAAGGCCAATATAGGCAGGAGCTGAAATCCTGTGCCGAGACCTAGAATTTAAGCACCATGATTCTGTGTGGGTGGGGTGAAGAGAAGCAATGTACCTTCACAGAGCCCAAAGCAGAAGTAGCATCTTTTTAAAAAGCTAGTTAAAACATAATCAGCAAAATCTTATCCATTTAGCCACTTTAAAACAATTGTAAGTGGAAGAATAATTTCTCCTGGAGAAACATTTTCCCTGCTGGGAATGGCTATTTCATAGAACTAACGCTTTTGATTTAAAAAAAAACAACACAACTCACCTATTTGCATTAGGCTCTCATCATTCAAAGAGTGAACAAATGAAAAGACTCTGAGATGTGGCAGATACGGACACTGCTAAACAATCAGCTTGGCGGCATGCCTTATTCCATTCCCAAGAGGGAGGTTGAGCTCTTCCAGGTTTACAAGATGCTGCAGAAGGAGTGAAAAAAAATATTCCCACTGTGCTCTCATATGAAGGCAGGCATATGGATCAGACTACATATTTCTAAGGACACTTGTTAACACCTGTTGGTGATAATGGCCAGACTCTTTAGAAAATTTCAAAGTAAAGTATATACAGCAGGTAATTAGGGTATGGATAGTTTTCAGCAAAATTTCTACCCAGAAGAAAATACACCTCCAAAGGCATCCCCCGGGGTTTTCTGAGAGGTAAAGGAAGGGGCTGTTTCTCCTGCAGACTTAGGGTGCCACTGAAAAGGAAGTTATATGTAAACCATTTCCAAATCCATGATTACCCTCTTGAAATCCCTGCTGTCACCCAATCTCCACTCCCTACAATTCTCCCAAGGTTTGTAGGAGGGAAATCCTGCTCTTGCAGACTTGACGAGGAATGTAGAAATGTATACCATGAGCTCTTAAAGCTTCTGAAACTTTAACTGAGACTTCATTTCTTTCAAATTTAAGCAGGAGTTGAACTTAAGCATGAGTAAAAAATAAAAGGTAACATCTGTCTGACTAAAAGCCTCCCTCCACTTCAGTCAATCAATTTTTGTTCTTTTGCCTTTTATTTTCTCAGAATTTTACTAATTCTCTGTCCCTGAATATCTTTTCAGATAAATGCACATTTACCTTCTTCTTCTTCTCCCTTTTTTGTGGAGATAAATCTTTCAGGCCTCCTTTAAACCTCATAAAAATAGTAAAAACAAAAAACAAAACATACACACACAAAAAACCAAAAAGCCCACTTTTGCAAGATCCCATTAAACATTTACAAACAATGTGATTCTCAAAAGGTATTGAACACGCCCATCTACACAGATCAAAACCACTGCCATAATTCAGCTGTCTCAGGACCCTGAATAAACTCAAATAAGCTTTGGTTCCAAGGACTCCTAGGTACAGGTTCCTCTCACTTTATGCAGGTTCTGTATGTGCAAATTCACTCTTATGCAATGACCCTTTGTATACCAAGAATTTGTTACACGTAAGGTAAATTCACTCTTATGCAATCGGTGTAGTGGAAGCCCGCAGTCAGCTGCTTTGTGCGGTGCACTGTGGGAATGATGTGCAGCAAAATATCGTCTCCCGTGTGGATCTGTTCTCCTCGCTCATAGTCTACGACATGTGTTTCTGTATTTGCCATCCCCATTATGGTAACATTCACCACCACCCTGTGCTTGTGTGTACTGTCTGCTGTTGGTGAGTACCAAAATTGTCTTGTAAAAGTGGTAGAAATGAGTCTAGGGTCAGTACAGTCAGTCTTGGAACCTATCCCTATCTGTTATATTGTAAAGTGGGTTCCCTTTATGCAAATTTGAGTTATGCACAGTTTTCCAGGTACACATGTACAGCATAAAGTGAGGAAAACCTGTATTTCAGTTCTAATCTTTAAAACTGCTTAGATTTTTCCTCCAGCAGTGTGTTATGGACTCCTATAAATGTATCTTCCACGTGAGATTACATTATTTTGGTATAACAAAGACACAGGCATAAGTCTACATAAAGAATGAAAATAAGTCATACCAAAGGCTTCAGAAGCTTTTTCCATCAACAAACCATTGCTTATCAAGATCCAACACTTTGAGTAAGAGAAAATTTGGCAGAACAGCAGCTACAAAAATATAAATGAAAATGTACATTTTGATACTCAAGTGACATTTATTAAAAGAAGAATTTATTTATCTTCAAACCCATGGATGATTAAGCCTTTGCACCTTCAAAAGGAAGTTTATGTTTTTATTAAATGCTATCTATTATGATGCATCTCTGTAATTCTTGTCCTGTCAGCAAAGGCTCGAGGTATCAAATATAATCTTCCATAGTGCTCTTATTTATGAATATAAACAGTTTTCTCAAGATCATACCATGTGTGGTTCAGAAATGACCCTAAATATAAAATTTAGCTATTTGCCTTGTGATGCTTAAACAAGGAATGCTACCATGAGGCTTGAAAGCGTAAAAATTACACAGCTATGTTTGCACATAGGAAGAAGAGTTAACTTCCACACATAGGAAGAGGAGACATGATGTTATATTGTCATAAAACAAACCTAGATATTTCTTAACAGGCATGCTTATGAGTCCCTTTGTCCTTTCCAATATGCCCCTTGCAAGGGTTGCCAGCAATGAAATATACAAACATTTTCCAACATGGGTATACAATCCCATGTTCAGGCACCTAAATAAAAGTGGTTTGATTTAAAAAAAAAAAAACCCTGCAGCTTCTCTTGATGCTACAGATGCTGACAATGAAGGCACTCATTAGTTTCCTTAACATGGATGTAGGTGCCTAGTTTTAAGACTGATTTTCAAAGTCAGACCAGAGTGCCTAATTCTTCATTTTGCTTTAGTTTCCCAATTCTGTACTATAAATCTGTGTATAGTAATGCCCAAATTGTGAGACTTACATTATATTGCATCAAAGCTCCCTACTGAAGCTCTATCTTCATTCACTTACCTGCACAGCAAACTAATTTACTGTATTGGAAAGTGTCACAGTCTATACATGTGATGCTATTAGACCACAGCAAACTAATTTTTGCCACCATAAGATAGTACTGTCAGGCAAAAATAACTGTGCCTAAATGCATGTGTAAACACTGACCTGGGCACACATTGCACCCAGTCAACCCAGGCAGCAGGGAACCAGAACCCTCCCTGTCACCTAGCCAGAGCTCCGCATGCTGGAGCACTCATGCCCCAACGCCACATCGAGAGCCTGGGGCTGACCCCCAGGTCCCCTGCCAGTCCGGGGCTGCTCTGTCCTGGGTCAAACTGCTACAGCCCCAAGCACCGTGTCTGCACACATGCCCTGGACCACAGCAGTTTGAGCATCTACACGTGCCATTAAGACAACATGTTGAACTCTGGCTCAAACTGCACCAGTTTATCACATTGCCTTAATGGCACCTGTAGATGCACCCACTGAGTTTCAGAAGAGGGAAAGTCATGCTATGCAACTTATTTACTATTTTAAATGACTTTTCCTACCAAAAAAAGATATGTCTTGATCTCTGAAAAATGATCCAGTTAACCTGATTTCTGTTAGATTCTTGCAAGAAGAAATTGCAGCCAGAAGAGGTTTACAGTCAAAGTAGTCCGAATGGTCCAGATGAAAAATGGACAGATTCTGAAAGCTCTGAATAAATTCAGCTGTTAAAACACAAAATATTTTACGATGAATAGATGAAGATACAGGATCAATAAGCCTAAGCCTTTATTAGCCCTACTTGTAAATTTATTTCAAAAGACATGGAGGAAAGATAGTTAGCAAGGACTTAAAGTGAACACACAGAATGATAGCATTTCAGGAACCTCCCCTGCTCCCACAAAACTTCACCTTCTTTGAGGATCCATATGTGAAAGGAACAAAAACGCTGACTTCTTGCACTGCACTCCTCTCAGGGGAAAAAAAAAAAATCACATTATTATATTTGCCCTAAATTAAGGAGAGGCTTAGCCATTGGTTTCAACAGTGTTTAACTCAACCCATAATAGAGGAACACAAGACTGGAAGTAGTTGAAAGTATCTGCCTAGACTAATTGTACCAGTCATTTGACAATTTACCATTTTTATGAGGTAAAACAGCATTAAACATGTCAGCCTTCACCACAACTTCTTTATTTGATCCACATTCATCAAGGGACCTACATGCTCATTAGTAGGGACCTATTTAAGTAGCAGTGAGACAAAAGCCATTTTCACAGCTTTGTCCTGGCATGAACTGCCCATTTCATGGGCATTTTGTGGTGGCCCCACCCCGTGGCACTGACTAGCAGAGAGGCAGGGGGGGGAGGGTGCAGAGGG